ATCCCTTTAGTTCCTCCATCAGTCCTGCAGTTCATCCATCAGACATGAAGTTCATCCTTTATACATGTAGTTCGTGCACCAGACATGTAGTTAACCCAGAAGCCCTTTCACTCATCATTCAGACATGTAGTTCATCCATCAGACATATAATTCATCCAACAACATTGTAGTTCATCCATCAGACATATAGTTTGTGCACCAGACATGTAATACATTTGTAAGCACTTTAGTTCATCCAACAGACAAGTAGTTAATTTATCAGCCATTGAGTTCATCTATCAGACATGTAGTTCATCCACTAAACATATAATTCATCAGTCAGCCCTCTAGTTCATCAATCATTCCTTTAGTTCATTCATCAGAAATGTAATTCATCCACCATTTAGTTCCTCCATCAGTCTTGTAGTTCATCCATCAGACATGAAGCTTATCCTTTAGACATGTAGTTCATCTTTTAGACATGTATTTCATCTTTTAGACATGTAGTTCATGCATCAGACATATAGTTTGTGCACCAGACATGTAGATTATCCATCAGAAATATTGTTCATCCATCAGACATATAATTCATGCACCAGACATGTAGTTCATCCAGCAGCCCTTTCTTTCATCAGTCAAACAGGTAGTTCATCCTTCAGACATGTAGTTAATCCAACAACACTGTAGTTCATCCATCAGGCATGTAGTTCATCCACCAGGTGTGTCATTTATCTATTAGATATGGAATTTGTCCATCTGATATATAATTCATTCAGCAGACATGCTGTTCATCTATCAGTTCTGTAGTTCATCTATCAGACATGTCATTCATTCATCAGACATGTAGCTATCCACCAGACATATAGTTCATCCATCACACATGTTGTTCATACACCAGACATGTAGTTCATCCATCAACCATTTAGTTCATCCATCATATACGTAGTTCATTCATCAGACATGTAGTTCCTCCACCAGTCTTGTATCACAAAAACTGTTAAATCATGTTATCTGGACAGATTCTGTACAGATAACATGATTTAACAGTTTTTGTGATTTATGTATGTGGATGACTGAGCATACAAACCTTTATCAACCCTGTAGTTCATCCATCAGAGGTTTAGATTATCCTTCATGCCTTCTTCCACCAGACATTTAGTTAATCCATCATCCTTCTTGTTCATCAATCAGCCCTTTAGTTAATCCGTGAGTCATGTAGTTCATCCACCATTTAGTTCCTCCATCAGTCTTCTATTTAATCTATAAGACATGTAGTTCATCCATAAACTATGTAATTCATCCATTAGATATGTAGTTCATCCATCAGACATGTAGTTCATTCACCAAACATGTACTGTAGTTCATCCACCAGATATGTAGTTCATCCATCATACATATAATTTATCCATTAGATATGTAGATCATCCATCAGACATATAGTTCATCCATCATACATGTAGTTCATCCCTTAGACATTTAGGTCATCCACCAGACACGTAGTTCATCCACCAGACATATAGTTCATCCATCAGACATGTAGTATATCCATTAGACATTTAGGTCATCCACCAGACATGTAGTTCATCCACCAGACATGTAGTTCATCCATCAGACATGTAATTCATCCATTAGATATGTAGATCATCCATCAGACATGTAGTTCATCCACCAGACATGTAGTTCATCCATCAGACATGTAATTCATCCATTAGATATGTAGATCATCCATCAGACATATAGTTCATCCATCATACATGTAGTTCATCCATTAGACATTTAGGTCATCCACCAGACATGTAGGTCATCCATCAGACATGCAGTTCATCCACCAGCCATATAGTTCATTCATTAGACATGTAGTTTGTCCATTAGACATGTTGGTTTTCAACAGATGAAGTTCTGAATTCAGAAAAATGCTGTTTCTTCCATCATCTTATGGATTAGAACTGTGATGTACCATCGGTTCTGTGAAGGTCTAACCTGTGAACACCTGAACTGAAGACAGGTGTGAGATTGTCTTGTGTAGCAGCTATCATGTGACTTGGCTGTTTATCTCTTGCTGATGCAGGATGTCCGTGCTCTTTACAATCAAATGGCGGGTCGTGAAGTGGACGAACCCGATGCTCCCATAGAAACCAGTCTAGACCAGATTTTGTCCTACATCAGGAGCCACTGGGAGAAGGTGACAGAGAAGAATCGAGCTATAGCAGAAAGTTATCTGGAGTGTAAGGTGAGAACTTATTACCTGAACAGGTGACATCACAGCTGATTAAAGTGAGTCTGATCTGTGTGTGTGTGTGCGTGTGCACGGCAGGAGGCACAATGTGTGGGCAGCAGCCTGAGTCAAAAGGAGGAGCATGTGGAGGCTCTGAAGGCTGAGTGCAGCGATGTCAGCTGTAGGATCCAGAGTCTGCAGGCTGAGACCGAGTCCATCAGAGCTCTGGTGAGACTAAAGCTTCAACTCATTAAACAAGTCAATACCTGATCAATCACAGATCAATAACCTGCTAAATAAACTGATCATTAACATAATAAACTAATCAATGACCCTATCAACAACCTGATTATTGACTTTATCAGTAACTGGGTAGCATGATGGCTTAAAGACACTGTTGCCTCACAGCAAGGTCTAACCTTTATGTGTTCTCCTCCGAGGTTTCCTCCCACAGTCCAAAAACTTGGATGTTAGGCAGGAGGCCATGAAATGAGAGATCTGTGATGATTACTGAATTAACTGATCACTGATGTAATCAGTGACCACATCAATACCCCAATCATAGATATGATCAGTAAGTGATCAATAACTGATCAATGCAACACAGAAACGAGGCCTGGAGAACTCGCTGACGGACGCTCGGCACTGGCACAGCGTGGAGCTTCAGAACCTGGGCTCGGTTGTGGTCAAGCTGGAGGCGGAGCTTGATGACGTGCACGGTGAGATCGAGCAACAGCGCCATGACTATGACATGTTGCTTAGCAACAAGCAGCGACTGGAACAGGAGATCAGCGTTTACCACGGAGTCCTGGATGGAGAGGAAAACCGCTTCCTGCCGGAGGACAGTGCCGCCAAGCCGTGAGTCACTCACGCTACAGCTACACACAATTACACACAACTACACACAACTAGAACACAACAGTAACACGACAACAAAACTGTAACAACTACAACACAACTGTAACACGACAACACAACTGTAACACGACAACACATCTGTAACACAACACACAACTGTAACACAACTACACACAACTACAACACAACTGTAACA